GGCTTAGCTTTGCTTTTATAGAGGCTTAGAGATTAAAAAAGCCATTTGGAGCGTCTCGTAGTGAAAATCCGGACCCCCCCCCCAAGTGCATTAGTACCAAATGTTCCATGTCAAATTTTCGTGGAAATATCGATGTTTTTTGTATTTTTCATCAAAACTTGTAAAATTTTTTGTTTAGGGTCAGTAAAACAGTTGCATGAGAAACACGTGCTTTGTTTATATTAGACAAAATTTGGTCCTTAGAAACCCCCCCCCCCCGCTAATGCGAAAGGTCCGCGAACCGAGCAACTTCCGGGCAACTATCGTTCCCCCGCAAAAATAGAAGGCCCAAAAAGCACGTCTGGCCGGCCCAGCGCGTCCCAATTGCATCGAATCCTTGAGGAAAACGAAGAAGGAAGGGGTCAGGGCAAGAAAACATTGCTGCAAAACGAGACGTCGTTGGCTGCGAAATGATAAACAGCCTGTGATATGTGATGCCAAGCAGATGGGGGGAATCATCCAGAAAAAGAGGTTACCGAATTGATAAGGGAAAGTTGAACGGCTGATAAACAGCGATACCCATTAAAGGTACACTAAAATCTCGTGCAAAAAATCAGTTCGCGGTCGGAAATCCCGGCCCTCTGCCGCGCAACGCCCGGATCCTTCTTATCCCCCTTCCCTCTCCCCTCTCCCGTCTGTCCCATGGCCTAGTGGTCTAAAGCGCTCGCACGAGGCGAGTGGCGCAGGTTCGGTTTTGCTCCGCGGCGCGCACCTACCGTAACCCTGTTTGCTATTCCGCGGACGGTTACCGGCCGGTAACCAAACCAACGAGGCTTTAGTGTACCTTTAAAGATACCGAACAGAACAATAACAACAATAAGTTGAGAAATGTCGTGTAACTAAATAGGAAGCGTTTTAATAATCGTTTAATCAAATAAATCCGTATTTTCACCAGCAAAACTATCTAAACCCTCTAAAAAAAATTTCGAAAAGTCGAAATTTTGGTCAAAACCGGCCAGTTTTTTTTGTCGAAACATGGATATTCTTGTATTTTCTAATATTTTGATTTTAGTTTAATATTTTGTAATTTTTACTCAAACTCATCAAGTTTTACGTTAAGGAATAGTAAAAACCAAGGTATTGTCCATTATCGGGGGGCAATTTTTCTGTATTAATATAAAAATGTCTAGTGACTTAATAGGAAGTATTTTCATAATGTATATAGCAAAATAAAAATATTTTTTAAACCAGAAAAACTATCTAAAACCTTTCAAAAATTTTTTCGAAAAGTCGACATTTTGTCAAAAACGCCGATTTTTTTTGTCGAAACATCGATATTATTGTATTTTTTTGTAAAATCGTAAAGTTTTACGTTAAGGAATGGTCAAAACTATTTAGGAACACATCCGCTATTCATTTAAAAAATTGGATCTTAAGAAAAGTTGCCCCCCCCCCCGATAACGCGAAAGAGCCTGAGAGCCTAATGAGCGGAACGAGTGATCGATACGACGAATCGGGGCTTGTTGTCCATGGAGGCAAATTATTGTTTTCGGCGTTCAAACTGGCCGGCGGAACCCCGCGGGGTTGTGGCAAAGGCGGGGGAATCGATGTGAAGTGTGGAGAGATAGGGAGAGGGGTGCAGGAAAATGCTCGATGGCGCCATGGGCGAGTAAACAACTGACCCCCCAGTATTCCCCCTGCTAACAGAACGCGGGGCCAAGACGGATTATCGCAGATACACATGTGAAACGCATGTGCCAGGTGTGTCGAGAGCAAAATAGGTTCTGGACTGTTAGCGGGCAGGGTACCGTGACACTTACGCCGCATCACTTGCGCCTGACATGGTAAAGGTTGCTTAACGGGGGAACAAATAACGGGGGGTGGAAACAATTTTTGTATTTCTAATGCTATTTTGCTATTTTGAAAACGCCATTGGATAGAGCGTCGACAATTATACTAAGAGATTTAATCTCAGTCGAAAAACCTCATTTTTAACGATTTTTAATTGATTAAAATTTTTAGCTTAATAAAGTAATAATTTTAAATTGTGGTATTTCGGGCTGATTTAGGTTCTGGACTGTTAGCGGGCAGGGTACCTTGACACTTGCGCCGCGACACTTACGCCTGACATGGTAAAGGTTGCTTAATGGGGGAGGGGGACAAATAACGGGGGTGGAAACCATTTTTTCCTATAGGGACCTGTCGTGCCAATTGAGGCATGCCATTGGATAGAGCGTCGAAAAATATACTAAGAGAATTAATTTCGGCCCGAAATAATGTAATTTAAATTCTTTATTAAAGAAACAAAGCTATGGGCCGTCCATCACGCATAACGGTTAGGCGACCGGAATTTTCGGTATTTTTGGCTGTTTTAACGGGATTTCATGAATGCCATCGGATAGAGCATCAAAAAATTTAATTTGAGCCCGAAATAATGTTAGATGTTTGTAAATTAGGTATTAAAAAAGAAAACCATCGGCTGGTCATGAAGTTGTTTATTCGTTGTTATTGTTTAGTTTTTTAAGGTGATCATCATTTTCGGCGTTTTTTGCAGCTTTTCGTAGAGATTTCATTAATGCCATCGAATAGAGCGCCAAAAATTACACTAAGAGATTGAATTTCAGCCCGAAATACCACAATTTAAAATTATTACTGATTAAGCTAAAAAGTTTAATTAATTAAAAATCGTTAAAAATCATGTTTTTTGGACTGAAATTAAATCTCTTAATCTCTTAATTAATTCTCTTATAATTGTCGACGTTCTATCCGATGGCGTTTTGAAAATAGCAAAATAGCATTAGAAATACAAAAATTGTTCCCACCCCGTTATTTGTCCCCCCCCCCCCGTTAAGCAACCGTTACCCAACCTCCATGACTAGAATTAGTGCGCAGATGCTGCTAGAGCTGGCCCACGCGCAACAAAATCGGCTACCTTGTACCTGCCCTTTAAGATTTAATGTGTTACGTTGTCTTGCTCAATAAGCTGCCTTCAACTGTGTTTTGTATATTATTATCTGGTCCTTGTGTTATTCTTTGCTTTGTTTAATTTTTCTGAATCAAAAAATGAAAAACAACCTCTTCTGCCCCTTCATATAGCCGACTCGATTTGGTATCAGAATCTCGCATTTTCATAATCTCGCATTTTGATAATCTCGCATTTTCATAATCTCGCATTTTCATAATCTCGCATTTTCATAATCTCGCATTTTCATAATCTCGCATTTTCAGAATCTCGCATCTTCAGAATCTCGCAACTCCCATAGACTGGCTGCTTTTCTACTAACTACAACTAACAGAGCCTCGGCATTTGAAAGTTTCTGGAAACGTTGGGCGGTTTCCAGGAACGCATCGACAACCGTCTAATCGAGGCGCAGTAACAGGGCATGAAGCCAAGCCATCGATTACCAAGCCCAGCGTGGCCTCGACGAGGCGTACGACGCATCTCCAATTTCTTTAGTTAGTGGCCCAGACATTCGATTAATTTGTTGTAATCCGCTAGCTCCGTGATAAATCATCATTCATCGAATTCTTGGAAATCTTGGAAAGCCCTTAGAAAAGTTGCGAGACTGAAAATGCGAGATTCTGAAAATGCGAGATTCTGAAAATGCGAGATTATGAAAATGCGAGATTATGAAAATGCGAGATTATGATATCGAGATTGATAATGCGAAATTATGAAAATGCGAGATTATGAAAATGCGAGATTATGAAAATGCGAGATTATGATAATGCGAAATTATGAAAATGCGAGATTATGAAAATGCGAGATTATGATAATGCGAGATTCTGAAAGATTCCCAGCCGACTCCTTACTTCCGATCTATGCTAATTATTGCCTAACAAAGAAGGTTTCCCAAAAACCGAAATTTAATATCGAAAATGGGTAATTTTAAAAGATAGCATATGTGTGCATTCATCGCAAGACCATTACGCACCTAATGACGTATCAAACGCCCCTTGGACTACTCTTCTTGTGATATGACTGGAACAACGATACGGAAGTGGATGCAAAGTGGCACACACACAGACATTATTTTTTTTTTATATATAGTAGGATTACACACCTGTACATGAACATGGAGCTGAGAGTAAGTGGGGGCCGACTGGGGGGTACGGGGGGAGGTTATCTGGAGTTCAGCCAAACGTTCTTCTTTATTCATTATTAGATGCATAGGATTTGGTATCACAATCTCGCATTTTCATTATACCGCATTTTCATAATCTCGCATTTTCATAATCCCGCATTATCATAATCTCACATTTTCATAATCTCGCATTTTCAGAATCTCGCATTTTCAGAATCTCGCAATTGCCATAGACTAGTTGCATTTCGATTAAGTACAACTAACAGGGCCTCGGCATTTGGAAGTTTCTGGAAACGTTGGGCGGTTTCCAGGAACGCATCGACAACCGTCTAATCGAGGCGCAGTAACAGGGCATCTAGCAGACACCCATTGCCATCGATTACCAAGCCCAGCGTGGCCTCGAGGAGGTGTACGACACATATGACCATCTCGAATTCCTTAAATTAGTGGCCCAGACATTCGATTAATTTGTTGTGATCCGCTTATTCTGTGATCAATCATCATTCATCGAATTCTTGGAACCCTTGGAAAGCCCTTGGAAAAGTTGCGAGACTAAAATTGCGAGATCCTGAAAATTCGAGATTCTGAAAAGGTGAGATTCTGAAAATGCGAGATTCTGAAAATGCGAGATTATGAAAATGCGAGATTCTGAAAATGCGAGATTCTGAAAATGCGAGATTATGAAAATGCGAGATTATGAAAATGCGAGATTATGAAAATGCGAGATTATGAAAATGCGAGATTATGAAAATGTGAGATTATGAAAATGTGAGATTCTGAAAGATTCCCGATGCATAGATCAGGCGGTTTTTGGTTTTCGGCTAGGGGTTTGAAATACAACGATTAGCCATTGTTTATTACGCATCACATACACGGTACAACTTTTCCAAACAACCACAGAGCTGATGCATGCTGAATCCCAATTCCATCAGGTCAACAGTCGAAAAGGCATATGGCGAAATCAAACAGCCGCAGCGGCTTCTCACTGGCCACCAAAAGTGCAGCGAGGCACGCTGAAAGGATGGGATTTCAGAAAGTCCAAAGAAGTTGGAGCCCCGTCTGCGCGTGGCAGACGGGTGTCGCAAAGTCGATTTGCTATCAGTTTTTCGAAATCGCAACGCGCTGGACCTTCACTTTGCAAACTGTTTCAGATGAATAATCGCTGCGAAAAAGGCATTGAAATTTCGACAAATTGATGCAGGATGACAGCAAAGAGTCAATTTCTCACTTCTATTGTATGCGTTGATTCGGAAGAAGTGCTGATAACGGAGTCGGGGAAAATACTGAAATGGTAATTTTTGTGTCGTGAGCTGAATGGTACATCATATCGTGGGTGACCCAAAAAACACTTCCCTCTAATAGGAGCACTGACTCTAAAGCTGGCAAGGAGATCCTACTACAGCGTGTCCCATAAAAAAGAACCCCTCCCGCGTTTTTCCATATTACATCCGATCGGTCCCAAATTTGGACTAGAGGTGTAATGGACCCTAAATAACCACAATCCTGATTTATAGCCCGCTAGCTACAGTAGTTTTGGAGATACAGCAAAAATAAACTTTATTATCCGTTTTTCATAAGGTTTTCGCCGGAATCGACCCTTCGAACCTTTAGTGAAAATGAAGCGACAAACGTTCTTTACCCTTAGAAATTTTTTCCTGATAAAAATTCATCAAATAACCGTTAATTTCAACAATTTTTGTAACCCAAAGACACACCCCATATAAAGCAAAATTAGGGATTCGCATCAGGAAGTCGATGCAAATCGATGCAAAGTCCAAAAAGATAGCCGGAAAAACTGTTAAGAATCGCGTGAAAAATAGGATTTTGGCAATAACTTGAAAACTACTGTAGCGATCCGGCTATAACTCAGGATTGTGGTTATTTAGGATCTAATAAACCCTTGTGCAAAGTATGGGACAGATCAGATGTAATATGGCGAAATGCGGGAGGGGTCCTTTTTTTGGGGCACCCTGTATATCCTACTTTTTGTATATATAAAAAAATAGAGAGTGTGTGTGTGTGTGTGTGTGTGTGTGTGTGTGTGTGTGTGTGTGTGTGTGTGTGTGTGTGTGTGTGTGTGTGTGTGTGTGTGTGTGTGTGTGTGTGTGTGTGTGTGTGTGTGTGTGTGTGTGTGTGTGTGTGTGTGTGTGTGTGTGTGTGTGTGTGTGTGTGTGTGTGTGTGTGTGTGTGTGTGTGTGTGTGTGTGTGTGTGTGTGTGTGTGTGTGTGTGTGTGTGTGTGTGTGTGTGTGTGTGTGTGTGTGTGTGTGTGTGTGTGTGTGTGTGTGTGTGTGTGTGTGTGTGTGTGTGTGTGTGTGTGTGTGTGTGTGTGTGTGTGTGTGTGTGTGTGTGTGTGTGTGTGTGTGTGTGTGTGTGTGTGTGTGTGTGTGTGTGTGTGTGTGTGTGTGTGTGTGTGTGTGTGTGTGTGTGTGTGTGTGTGTGTTTCTATTATTTTTAAATGCGTTCATATTTTAATTTTAATGTTTTTTATTTTAATTTAAATGCGTTATAAAATCGCGCAGTTAAATAAAAATATGATTTCGAAGATTGTTTCAGACTTGCCGTTTGAACGGCGTTGTAGCCCTGCCCCCGTTGACAACTCAGTTCCAGAGTTACAGTTGCTACGTTTCCGGATTTTCAATATCAATATTGCTTGGCTGTTGCGATTTTTCCCATCAAGCCGGTACCGGTATGTACGAAAAAACACCGGTAACAACTTTCCTAGCATCCCCGGGAATCGCGCGTCAAACAAGAAGCGCACCTGCAATCCTTTCATATCGTCAAATGGTTTGCGCACGTCCAACCATCCCTGTAGTGTTTGCGCATCAACTTCGTTTGTTTTTATCGGTCTCATTGTTCCGCTATGGATGCGCCGCAGCCGTTCATAAAATTGTCGCTAAAATAGACTTTTTCAACTTAAAAATAAAATTTCGGTGACGCGATCAGATCGGCCCATGACAATTTCCATAAAACCGGTGCCCTGGCGGAAAGTGGCTTTGCTCGGCATTTTTTTAACCCATCGAATCACATCTGCCCGAATTGCATCCCATCGAAAGTACGACTCATCGAAATTACAACTCCTCGAAATATCGATTTTATCAACCCAATTTTTTTAATAAATATATTTTTATACCTCTTGCGACCGGGCAAAAGCCTGTGCGCAGGGGGATTGGCTGCGGAAAACTGTCACTATTTTTCGTTGGTATATTTTAATGCAATTTGATAGAGCTTCGAAAAATATACCAACAGTTTTTATTACAGCTCAAAAAATTGGGTTCTTTAGGATTTCCGGGGGGAACCAATTTTTTTCCTGGCGGTCCCGGTTGACCTAGTAATCGAATATAAAGTGTTTTCAGATTGTTTTTTAAAAAATTTTAACTATTTTTAAGGTAGAAAAACTTTCAAAAAAAAGTTAGAAAAATGTTAGAAAAGTCGAAAATGTAGTCATTTTGGGTCTTTCCCCGCCCGCTAATCCTAAAAGTTCTATAGGATTTTTCGACCTAAAATTAAACTTTTTATTTAAAATTTGTGTAGTTTTTATGATTAGTAATGTTTTAAAACAATTTAGAAATGCATGCGCTATTTAGAAAAAAAAATTAGGCTTGTGCCGAAACAAATTGATTCCCCCCCGGAAATCCTAAAGAACCAAAAATTGTAATACAAAACAAGTTATGGCAAAAGCCTTTTTAAACGTTCCAGCCCCATATTCAAAAGTGAAGGACAACTTTTGAATATGGGGCTGGAACGCTAGTCTTCGAGAATTTCCCTGTTTTTGAAGAAACGATTCGATAGCACATCAAAAAAATATACTAAGTTTTTAGTAAGTGTCTCAATCACTGCTTAAGATACGGAAGTATCAAAAAGTTATAGCAAAAAGAACTAGCTTACCGGCGAATTCCGCCCCCACACAGGTTTTTCACCCGCTCGTAACGGGGCACTACCTCAATTTCCTATCAGGCCTGATCCACTCGCCGTTCTTATTCATTTACCATGCTGACGAAATGCTTACCATGAAAAGCGTTCCGCTAATTATATCCGCTCGATCGACTAACGCAAACACTTCATGTAAGAATCCGCGACGCGTCACTCGATTTGGGCAAAACGCTATCTAAAATCAAAAATATTCTACCTTATATAATTTTGGTGTGTATCCTTGTGTGTGTGTATGTGGATGTCACTTTCGAGGCCCGATTTGAGGGCCTTGCCGTGTCCAAAATGCCCTAATTCTCCGTAACCCGGAGGAATCGACCCTCCTGTTTCCGATGGCGTTTTCAGAATTTCGATAAAATACAAGTTTACAAAGTTAAAGCCGGTTTTATTCATTTTTGGGGGTACCTGAGGGCTACTTTGCATAATGTGAAATAATAGAAATGTCCTCATTCTCATTCTGGGAGTTGCACGCGCGCGTGTGGTCGGTGGGGGGTCCGCAGGACCCGAGCTATGGCATCCAGCGCCCAAGGCCCGCGAAGCGGGTTTTGGGCGCTGGTAATTAAATAAAAATAAAAAAAGACGCTGCGGGTTCGAGGAATACGTACGTCAACCAGGTTTGCGATATTTGCGAAGCTGAAGTCGAAGCACTCAAAGTGGACTTTCTGCAGGGTTACAGTGGGCTTTGTACTGGTCCAGGACGACCAAAATTCTGCGCAGACATCGCAATTCCACGGCGCCTCTTTGCCGTAACGCTGTCAAAACAATTAGTTCGCCTTACTATGTTAGCGAGAATAGTCGAATAGTAAAACTTACGGCCACGCATTGTCGGCAGCGTACTTCCTAAATTTAGAGTAAAATACAGTGTTACTGGGATTCCTCTGACAGAGGTCTTGTTAAAGGGATATTCCGCTCTCGTTGAGAAATATAGAGTCTTATATTGGCCAACTCTTTAGCACGCAAGGTTACGGTAGGTGCTAAACGTGGGGCCAAACGGAACCCGGACCACTCGGCCATGGGAGGGAAGGGAAGGAGAGAGGGGCGAGGGGTTATGAAGGGTGCCTGCGGCCGGCCGCCAGAGTGCCAAATTCCCGCCGCCGGCTAGGATTTTAGAACGAGAGCGGAATGGACCTTTAAAGACCCTTGGAAAGATGGCCGAGCGTCCCCAGGGGCTAGGGACCGACGGGGGACTACCATATACGTAATTAATAAAACGAATTCGTAATTTTTAAGCAAAGTGCAATATCGGCGCACGGCTCGTCAAAGGGCACTTTAGTACGGGGCGCGCCTATTGCCCTCCGGGCTCTGTGGGGCGGCGCCGCCCATATTAAAAACTCATAAACTCTACGTTTTATTATAATAACTTTTTGTATATGATTTGGAACCTTTGGGAGGCGTGGGAACTTGGTAGAGAAAAAAAAATTCTCTATCGAACTGTGTAGGTCGCAATGAGAGTTCTCACCAAAATAAGGAGATTTTGAAGCCTAAAGTTCCCGAAATTTTCGACCCAGCTGGTTTATGTCAAGTTTTTCACCCTGTTGTTATGAAAATACGATCAGATCTCGCTAAAGGTTGGGTGGAGTTACGATACATGCCTTTGAATTAATAACGGAAGTTCTGGAAAAGTAAAACCCTTAGCCGATGGCGATCCTAATGTTTCGATGCTAGCACCCGAGCCGGAAGGATTTGAGCCATGCCTGGCGGTTTTTTAGGTAACTATATAAATTTAGTGTAGTATTAATCGAAAAACTGCTTAACTATGAACCTTCTATTAAGAAAATAGCTAAGATAATAGGGCACTTGCATGCTTGGAGCAACGCTTCCTGATCTGTAGCCCAATTTAGCTAACATAAACGCACCAGAGAGTGCTTATTATCGTTCCTAAGCCAAAACAAAATGTAATAGCAACACTGAAAGCTGATTATGGAGCAAAATTACGACTGTTTTTGGATTCACTTTGTTAAAACGGGTTCTGGCCGCTTTTTGTTATTTTCTGGGGGCTTTTTCGCCAATATTATACAGGGTGGGCAAAAAAAAAAGATCCGAGTTTGGGTCAAAATATCTCGCGAACGGTAGAGAATCGAAGGTACGTTACCATGCCAGAATGCTTAAATATGCTGGGTATGAAGATTTAACACAACTTGATTTTTTCGATTTTTGAGTACGAAACTGTACTATTGACGCTGGTTACGACCGAAAATTGTGCGTTCTTGAACGGGTGGTGGGAAAATTCTGATTTTTGGCCTAAAAATAGTATAAATTTGTAGAAATGTAATGGCAAAATCTTAGAATTTATCGAGGTCAATTTCATTTTTTAAAAGCAAAACAATTTTCGTGATATTGCGTTATTTTTGTTCTTTGGGTCATAACTCGCTTCTAACAGACTACTCATGGCTGATATTTTGTCAATAACCTATCCAAATATTAATCTCGGATTCCACACCATATTCCACCACAATCTATGGTATTTTTGTATTGCTTGCTAAAACGTGCCCCAGTGGGGTACTGTAGGTTTCGTTTTTCCCGCTTTTCTCAACTCCCTTAGCTTCGATCCGGCTGAAATTTTTTGGGTTGTTAGGCAATAAGTGGTGGCACCTTGCTGCCAAATAAGAGAGCGTACTATCCACAAACTTTCATGAAAAAGTCTAAAAACTCATTTTTTAATTCTGCCACAGAATCTTGTAAATTTTTTGGTCAGTTGTACCAAAAACTGTTATTATTGCATTTACCGAAAGATCGAAGCGATTCCATGGCAAAAACACCACGAAAATCGCGAATTTCGGTTTTCTACAGTAACCCACGTCGAGCGCTTTTTAGCATGCCATCGCAAAATTCCATAAATTGACGATTTTTCAATTCGAGGACCTTCGAGAGGTGATTGTGAGATAGCCTGTAAAAAATTACTGATTTTTGGTGGTAAATAACAAAGTTACAGGGCCAAGTGCAAAACAAGGCCAGAGAGCCGATTTTGGGTCCGAGTAGCCGGGTCAATTTTCGAATTTTTAAAAATAACAAAACCAGCTGGGCCTTATGGATACGATTATAGCTTTGATGTTATTATCTACGCTCGTCAAATTCCGGAGCAATCTGATTAAAAATTATGGTGACTTTCAGCTCAAAATCGAAGATCGCCCTATTCCAAAATCGAAGTTTAAAATTCGTCTTCGAATTTTTTCGGCGCGAAATTGTTTTAATCTTTGCATAGTTTTATTCAACTGATCGCACAAAATTAATGCTGAAAATATGCTGGCGACTCCACCTTCCAAAATTTTTTTTACGCCCCCTCGAGTTCGGTTTATTTCGGGTTTTGATGAATTTTCTTGTCGCCAACGGCTGGTCAAATAAATTCAAGAACCTGGCTTTAGGATGCGCTATTCAAATAATAACAGATAAAATTAAAATGACAATTTTCATAACGCTGTTAGAATTTATAAATTGTTAGCGAGTTTTGGAAAAAAGCACGAACCAACCGTTTTGGAGGCCCTAAAAGACGCCCTTCCAAAGGGGTACGGTAGCTCGGAATTTTGCAGATGATTGATAAACCCCAGTCCTACACAGCTAAGCGAAAAAAATAGCTGAGTCCCCTTTGGCAATTTAGAAATATTTTTCCAAAGTCCGGTTTCGAGATCTCGAAAAATCCATGACCCGGGGGTCGTTGAAAAACTCGAAAAATTCATCGATCTCGAAAATTTTTTAAGCGTGTTTATGCGATTGTATAGGGTCCGTAGTTATTCTACAACAACCTATTCTGATGTTTTGGCCATAGGTTTTTGTAATTTTCGAAATTTACGAAATTTCCCCATACAAAATTTCATTCCTCTATAACTTGTCAACCAGACCCTCAAAAATTCTTAAATTTTGTAGGTGCATATCTACTACCTACATTAACTTAAATAGAAAAAAATAAGAACCCAGCCACCACAGGAAACTGAGAAAAATGCAAATGAAGTTTCCCCGAACGCACATTTTCCGGGTGTCATTTGTATTGATACGTCGCCAAAAATTGAAAAAATCAAGTTGTGTTAAATCTTCATACCCAGCATATTTAAGCATTCTGGCATGGTAACGTACCTTCGATTCTCTACCGTTCGCGAGATATTTTGACCCAAACTCGGATCTTTTTTTTTTGCCCACCCTGTATGGTTTTGTGTTACAATAGGCCTTCGGTGATACGTTGGAGCAAAAAGCAAAACAAATATCACCAAAATGGGGGAGTTTGCGCCGCAGAGGAACCGAACCCGGGGGGTGTGGGAGGCTCGCCTGGCAGGTTAACCCACTATCCGCGGGGAGGGGGCCCGCACCCCCCAGAAGTGCGTTTTTGGTAAGGCCTGACGAGCCTTGGGCGCATGCCAAGGCAAAAAAGGGGAAAAGGTCGGCGCGCAGTCCGAAAGTCTTTTTTGATTTCGCCGGCCACGCTCGCTTGGCATTGTGGTGGACTGGCTAGCTTCCCGGGCTGTGGGGTTGAGCATCCCTGGTTCGGCCGCTAGAAAGTCGAAAAACGAGGGTGATAAACTTTTGTCCGCTACTGTAGATGCATAGCTTCGCTTTGTAGCCCCCAGAGCACTAATAGGTGCTTACGGTGTAATAAAAAAGTCGGTCGGCTCTATGCTGATGCAGTTTCACGATTTTCCGAAACAGGTCGAATTGACTCATTTGCATATTGCCGGCGAGCATGATTTCGCAATGCGTTTGGGCCATCCAACGAAAAAGCGAGCTTATCTAAAGAGTTGTGATACATCTACCGTGGGGATGAAAAAGATGTCTCCTCGGGAAACCGTTGGGTGTTCGAAAATCACGGGCCCGAATTATTATGAAACTTCGCATCTATGTCATTTTTTATCCGTAGAATCTGATGGCAACCTCGAAATTGGCTGCAAGATTGTGGAGGTCAAATTTCAGTTTCATAAAATTTGCTAAACAAACTTTTTTCCTGGGGCGTTTTCGTGTTTCAAAACCAGGTTCATTGTGTTCGGAAGGGTCGAAACCTTATATCCAACATGTTTCAAAACATGAATCCCTTTGAGGCTTGCTGCTATTAGGCCGAGAAGTTGTCGCCTGGCCCCCGTAAGCCTATCTAGGGGGATTTGGCACACACAGCAGCAACTTTCGGCCGTCAGTATGGCCAGGTCCGGACAGCAAAAAATTCACACAACCAGCGGGGGAGGAGCCGCTTCGCGACTCTCCCCCGCTGGACCCCGTCTAGGCCCTATGAATCGAGCGCCCTTCCACATAAAGTTACCATGAAGAAAGAAAAACGCATCTCCCATGCAAGCCTCTTTGTATTGACATGCGGCGCAAGCTTAAATTGCTAGTGTCGTTCGTAGGTCTGCGGCGCATGCTTGATCGGCCAGGTCTTCATCCAGCGCCGCCAGCTTGAGCGGTTACCTCCTTCTTTAGCCTGCGGCGCTAGCTTCAATAGTTGGCTTTATTCGTTAGCATGCGGCGCTAGCTTGCGCGACTAACTTCGTTCTAAAGCCTGCGACGCTAGCTTGAGCGGCTGGCTTCGTTCTAAGGCCTGCGGCGCTAGCTTGAGCGGCTAGCTTCGTTCTAAAGCCTGCGGCGCTAGCTTGAGCGGCTGGCTTCGTTCTAAGGCCTGCGGCGCTAGCTTGAGCGGCTAGCTTCGTTCTAAAGCCTGCGGCGCTAGCTTGAGCGGCTGGCTTCGTTCTAAAGCCTGCGGCGCTAGCTTGAGCGGCTAGCTTCGTTCTAAAGCCTGCGGCGCTAGCTCGAGCGGCTGGCTTCGTTCTAAAGCCTGCGGCGCTAGCTTGAGCGGCTAGCTTCGTTCTAAAGCCTGCGGCGCTAGCTTGAGCGGCTAGCTTCGTTCTAAAGCCTGCGGCGCTAGCTTGAGTAACCCCAAAAAAACCCCCCCCTCCCGGACCCCCAAAAATCAATAAAACCGGCTTTAACTTTCTAAACTTGTATTTTATCTGGATTCTGAAAGCGCCATCGGAAAGAGGAGGGTCGATTCCCCCGGGTGACGGAGAATTAGGGCATTTTGAACACGGGAAGGCCCTCAAATCGGGCCTCGAAAGTGACATCCACATACACACACAGAGATACACTCCAAAATTATATAAGGTGGGATAGCGGACTAGTGGTTTTTGGCCCTGCTTAACACGATGAAACTGGTTTTGAAACCCGAAAATCCCCCAGAAAAAGGTTTATGTTACCAAATTGTTTGGAAATGAACATTTGACCCCTAAAATCAAATTTGCGGCCGGTTTCGATGCTGCCATCGGATTCTACATATAAAAATTGACCTAGACACAAGGTTTTATAAAATTTGGGTCTGTGGTTTTTGAGTGCCAAACGATTTTCCGAGGGGGACATCTTTTTGACCGCTACTGTAGGTCCCGGGGATTCCGAACCTACTTCAAAAATGGCTGAGTCTGCCGAGCCATCAGCAAGACGCTTCTCGTCTGCATCGAAGCCGGGCTGCAAAGCAAATGTTTCGGAATTAGTGGTATTTTGCAGTACTCATTATCGCCCATTGACAATAATATTTCTGGTATTTATGCTCAGCTATGGTGGTATAATGGCCTTTATCTCGAGCAACGAAGCTTACCCCGAGCTCCAGAGTGAATTCCAAAAAACGACAAACCGTCACGCGCGCTCTCGACAAAAATTTGAGCAATTTGGGGAACGGCAGAGACGATACGCTGGAAACAAATACAAGAAATGATAAATTTGCATCATGTCAAGAGGGGGAAACGCCGAAATCACCTGATAAGTCGTTGCTTTCCATTCCCGACTTCAATTGAATTGCTCTCAGCGCAAACGCGTGTCACGGTGCTATCCAAATCTGCAGCCCAAAATTCCGGTTCCGTAACGTGAATCTGAAGAAGATCCCCGGTAATTACTGGCAACATACTACCAATGACAACGAACTTAAAGGTAACACCCCATCATGGCCTTGGAACTGCTAGAAACCGAATTAGGGTGCTAAAACGGAATTTCACCTCGGTACTGGCCGGTTAGGGGGGAATGTAAGTAATCCTGTACGGCCCTCATTTTAACCAGTTTTCAGATACAAGAACCCCCATAAAAAATTTAAATTTCGACAATTTTCGATCTTTTGGTAATAAATTTGTGAAAAATGATCATTAGAATTTTTGATTAGAATTTTGTTAAATATTACTAAGACTTTCTAACAGTAGAAAAACTATAAAGAAAAAGAATGGAACTATAAAAACACATTATAGGCAGAAAGCAAAAAATAAGTTGCCCCCTGCAAATTCCCCCCTCTAACCGCCCAGTAATATGAACTTCCCAACATTCGCATTCCCATTCTAAATTCACAGTAAGGAGTCCTTACTAAGGACTCACGCTCGGATTTTCGCCGCCATCCTCGTCGCCATCTTGGTTTTGCATCACTGTGTTTGCCGTCAAGGTAATCGACTCCACTTTACGTGGAAACAACCCCCGCTTATTTATTGACGTCCTGAACGGGGGAGCTTGTTCTAGACATACCCAGTTATCTGTAGAGTTGTTATCGACCCGGGTCGAAACTCGGTCGGGTCGAAAAGGCTCTCGCAGCGAACTTTTGTAAAATTAATAACTTTTTTCTAAAGTAGAATTCCGCGATTTCGACTTCAGTTTTGATTCTGTGAGATCATTTCCTACATTTTGAGTTGTTAAACTCAAAGTTTTTGTGCTAGAATCACAGAGAACGGAAAAATGTTCAGGTTCTGCGTGTGGCGGTCCACTTCCCCCATCTCCTTTTGCCCGTTCTCTGTGATTCTAGCACTAAAACTTATAGTTTAACAACTCAAAATGTAGGAAATGAGCTCACAGAATCAAAACTGAAGAGGAAATAGCGGAATTTTCCTTTGAAAAAAGTGATGAATTTTACAAAAGTTTTCGCTGCGGGAGCCTTTTCGACCCGACCGAGTTTCGACCCGGGTCGATAACAGCACTAGTTATCTGTCAAGCTCCCAGTGATCTGCCCCTCCTTACAAGCAACCATTTTGGAAGGGGCAGCTTGCGTGGCCGTGTGCCAGAGATGTCAAAACGTACCTGAAGTGTCTACTGAGGCGCTGCAACGTAATCAGTTCCCGGACGGACAATTGATCTAATACCGCCTCCACCAGGCTACCAGGCAGACGGTCGATCGCAAACATTTGTGGTCTCCCTAATTAGTGTTGGTTTTTGGGGTAAAGTCACTACCCCGAAAAGTCACTACCCCGAAAGTCACTACCCCGAAAGTCACTACCCCGAAAAGTCACTACCCCGAAAAGTCACTACCCCGAAAAGTCATTACCCCGAAAAGTCACTACCCCGAAAAGTCACTACCCCGAAATAATTTGCATGATTTTCATAGGAAAACCGCATGAAAACTGGATTTTTCCGGGAAAAACAATGCTATCATTTTTCGGGGTAAACGATTTCGGGGTAGTGACTTTTCGGGGTAGTGACTTTTCGGGGGGGGACTTTTGGGTAGTGACTTTCGGGGTAGTGACTTTCGGGGTAGTGACTTTTCGGGGTAGTGACCGGACGCCCCCTAATGCACGGTGATTTTTAAAAACAATGTATAAATGAATATATATAATACGAAAATGCATTTGAAGATAAGAAGATGAGGTAGCGTTTAATTCTAAGTGGTAGTAATCTAGCGTACCCGAAACACTAGTAGTTGGGCGTTCGGCTCGATCGTGAATTTGAATTTGAAAAAATTGGAGGGTAGTTTTATTAGACCCGTTATATTAGGCAAAATCCGGCAACTTTTATTCGATTTAGATTTGCCTATATTTCGATTTTATTCGACTCCCAGGCGAACGACCCGAGTTCAATTCCAGCCCCCTCTTAGAAGCCGAATTTCTTTTGCTCTTTTTTGCTATCGCCGTGATTTGGGCCGTAGTTGCAAATCTATGCTTTTCCCTCCACACCTGATCAAATTTTTTTATTTTTGGCTGGAATCAGGGCCATTTTTGTAGTTTTTAGAGTGTTCTCTGCACTCAGGAAAATACAACACTCGATGCAGAAAAATTTTGCGCAGCTTTCTATGTTATTTTCACGTTACAGGCAACAGTCTAAAAAGTCGAACATTTTGAAAAACTGTTCTAAGTACGCGAGATTCCTATGTTCCGGTGATTTTCGGGCTTGGCAATGTATTAGAAAAATGATCCCCGCGCCAAATTAGGTATGGACACAAATTTCCAGCAAATTTGGTTAAGTAACATCAAAGATAATTTTTTGGGGTGAACGACTTAACGGTCATTTAAACCCCAAAAATGAACTTTTAACAATCTAAAAACCATGCAGTCCTACTAATTCGACCATTCTCTTTCACATGGCGTCGAAAAAAAGGGTCGCAAAAAAACTGTGCCAAGCACTAGGGGGGGGGGTCTGTTCGAGTGACCTGCGGACTGTCTTTTAAAATTTGCTATGGAAATGTATAGCAAAGAGTATTTTATCTGGCAATTAGTAAAGTACAGCCGGTACAGCCGGTACAGCCGGATAGAAAGAGTGGGGAGAGGGAGAGAGCGCAGACATTTTTCTCTGCGTCTCTCGCCCCTTTCCATACAATCTCGAAACGGCTGTACCGGCTGTACCGGCTGTACTTTACAAACAGCCTTTTATCTTGGGTAGCTTCACCGAAAGTTTGGTGTTTTTCGATCTTTTGGAACATCGTTGTAGAACCACGATATGAATCGATAAATCATAATCCCTATGCTGCCCCCGGGGTCTGACAGATGGCGCGTAATTGGCCTTTTAGGCGGGAACTGAGATGCAGGGGCCGAATTACGAATGGCCTGTCCGCATTAACCGGTTTTTTTTCTTTTGATCAATCATTCAGCAACTGAAAATAGGTATCCAAGCGGATAGAATGCGAAGCTCCTTCGATTTTTCACGGCTGCCGCTACTCTGCCAAGAAATGGTCCACGATCAACTTGAATGGCACGAGAAAATTAGCTGTCGATCCGCGTCCCACGTATGTTTGACTAGAGCCCAAGATCCTTCCAACCATCCCGCAGCTAATTCTAATTTAGGACATGAATAATTTTTGTAAATACTAATTTTCTAGTGTTAGCGATCAATAATTTTCAGACATGGCAATTCCGGGCGGCCGAGCCCGGGGCCGGGCCTGTAAACTAATTTGCATGAAAAAAATCACCCACTTCCGGGCCCCGAAAAAACATGCAAATTCGCGGGAACTTTTACGGAGCCGGGCTCGGCAACTAAAATAGATTTGGATTGTAATATGCAAATTAGCAATGGCAATTTGATATGTCTTGGTTCCGTCAGGACATCGGTCTTGGTAAAATTAATTGAATTTGCTTAATAATTCGTGCCAACTATCAAAAACTACTAAAATACGGGCTTAGTCACGCTCTGATCTGTTTTCAATAGGCCGGGAGGTGTATGACAACCTTTCAAAATATAATGTTTTCGGATTTGCATGGATATTTTGGGGGAAGTGATTTACGACCGGCATTTCGGTACAATTCGGATAGGCGGGGGGGGGGGGATTTTAGGCGGCGGGGGGAGTTGCGGTCTGTTTTCGCCGCGCTCTACATGTTCCCTATAAGACCTCAAATTTTATTCTGGGTTTGAATATAGTGAGCGCCGAGTTGTCGACCAGTTAGCACACAAAAAAAAACGACGGTTCTTGCGTATTCCCGGGGGAAGAATTCGCGGGGGGAAGAATTCGCGGGGGGGGATTTTTTGCCCACATCTCAAATTTTCCTTTATCTATTTTGCGAAAACGCGTATCTATTCAGTAGATTTTCCCCATAAAGTGTTTTCATATTGTTTTTAGCAAAATTTAAGCCTATTTGAATTTTAATTCGGGCGCTGGTAGAAAATAATTATCCGTTGCTGTTCGTATGTTCCTCTTCTCAGCCCTGTCTGCGCCCGCCGTGTTCCCTAACCCAAAAAAGGGAGCCGGGGAGCCCAAAAAGGGAGCGAGGGAGGGGAGTGGTGAACTCTAGTAGACGCGCAGGGGAGGGTCTGCGCTTTGGCCCCGCCCCCCGTTCTCTCGCGGGCCCCTTTGCCGCATAATAAACGCTAGTCTCCCCCCACCTAAAATCCCCCCGCCTATCCGAATTGTACCGGCATTTCTGATTAGAGTGCGGCCCCTGCGGCCCCGGGCTCGGCCTCCATATTAACTCTACCCGGGGCCGGCGAGCAAAGCCAAGCCTATGCCAAATGAAAATTATGCCAAATGAGATTATGCCTGATAAACCGTCATCAGTGGGGCCGAGCCCCGTCGCGCCGGCCGCATGCACTTTTTGGGGTTGCCATGTCTGATAATTTTGTAATATAGTAAATCGCATTCGCATTACGGGGGGACTCGCATTATGAATCTAGATATACCTAATAACTTCACACGAAATATTATCATAATGTTTTTCGTAAAATAAATCTGTATTTCAACCAGAGCAATTATCAAAAATGTTGAAATTTTTTTCCAAAAAACGGAAATTGATAAAAACGGAGATTTTTGGTCGAATGATCGATATGTGATGCATTTTTTTTTCTATGATTGTAAAGTTTTTACGTTTAGGAAAGGTAAAAAATCTTTTTATTTTCGAAAAATTGGATTGAAGAAAAGAAGCGTTTTCCCCCCGATAATGCGAAAGAACTTTCAGATATTTACCGCGATTCAGACGGGCTCATGGTGGACGCCAAAAAGATCTGAGACGTGTCAACTGAGCTTAGAACCCACGGTAAACAGTTATTTTGTCGTCATAGTCGGTATATACCGGCGACGCGGAGGGGGGAGTGGGGACAATTTTACGCGGGGAGACGGACTGTTGGGGCCGACCTAACCCTTTTATGCATTTATTTTTGCTACAAACAAAACTCTTGGTATACTTTTCGATGCTCTATAGAATGGCATTAAAAAATTTCGAAAGAATATCGAAAATGTCGAAAACTTTCTTTCTATTTTCTTATTGGAAACAAGTTTCATATTCGTTTTTATAATAACTATTTTAAATTACATCATTTTGAACTAAAATTAAAATTCGTAGTGTATTTTTGGATGCTCTATCGAATCGCGTCTTTGAAATGTCAAAAAATAGCATGATGTCGAAAAACCGCCGCTCAACCCGATTCTCAAAGCTTATTTTTGTTTTTCCATAACTTTTTTATATTACAATAATTTGAGCTAAAACAAAAGCTGTCAGTATATTTTACGATGCGCTATCGAATGCTGCTGCAAAAATCCCGAAAAACTAACCAAGATATCGAAAAAGGCATGTCTGTTCCGTTCTGTCCCCCGCGTAAAATTGTCCCCCCCCGCGTAGCCGACATATACCGTAATAGTCAACAGTTATTGCGTTCACCTTCAATATGAAAGTAAACGGTAAGAGTTTACTTTACCCCCCCACAGTCGAAGGGTCTCAAAATTTTCGGTATTTTCGCTTATTTAGTCGGGATTTTTGCAACGCCATTCGATAGAGCGTCGAAAAATATACTAAGAGTTTTAATTTGAGCCTATAATAATGTAAAATAAAAAAGTTATAGCCAAAAACTTCTGGCTGGGGGGGTAAAGTAAAGTGTAGCCCAGTAAACATATGGGTTTTCAATGTGCTGTTTACCACTTCGAGTATATTTTGCGCTGTTTGACGGCGTCAAACATGCCGTTCTCGAGTTCCATTGATATGCCGAATTCCGCTATGCCGAATTTTCACTATGCCGAATTTTCACTATACCGAATTTTCGCTATGCCGAATTTTCACTATGCCGAATTTTCGCTATGCCGAGTTTTCGCTATGCCGAATTTTCGCTATACCGAATTTTGATAAGCGGTATGTTCCACGTTTTTTACTATTTTTTCAAATATCATGGGCGTAGAAGGTTAGAGTTAGCCTAGAAATTTCCAAAAATTCGGGCAGATCGTAGGTCCCGTAGGCGCAGCGCATTTTTTGTTGCACCGCAAAGTCCCAGCCATATTAATATTAGTTATTAATATAAGTAGAGAATATAGTAGTAGAGTAAAAATTCGGCATAGTGAAAATTCGGCATAGTGAAAATTCGGCATAGCGAAATTCGGCATAGCGAAAATTCGGCGTACCAATAATCGGCATACTGTAAATCGGCACAGCGAAAATCGGCATAGCAAGTATTTACATAATATAGTTGTTAGCACACGAAAATATTGTTGCGTGTATCACTTTTTACCGCTTTACTGATATGTACCATACAAGTTATTTCTGGGGTGATCACGATATAATACTTTGGAGTAGCTGTAAAAAAAATTTCTAGGGGTGGCAAATCTTCAAAAGCAGCACTGACTACATGATTTCAATCTGTTGGCGAGAAGATGATACTGCAATGCAAACAACACTATACATAAATTCTTATGCAGAGTAAGTGGTGAATTAAGGATGGAAATCCGATAGGAAAGAAGGCAGCAACTCCTTTGAAATCTCCTGTAGATAAGGCCACAGTTCGTCCGTGTTCGGTAGAGTTGTTATTCGACCCGGGTCGCAGTGGTCGAAACTTTTCCAGGCTCTCGCAGCGAAAACTTGGTAAAATCATAACTTTTTTCTAAAGTAGAATTCCGCAATTTGTCTTCATTTTTGTTTCTGTGAGATCATTTCCTACATTTTGAGTCCTTAAACTATAAGTTTTTATGCTAGAATCATAATGAACGGCACAACATGGCAGGGGGAAGCGGCTCCGCGAAATGGCCGTGCGCGGAACAAGGCAAGCAGGCCGTTCTTTTGATTCTAGCATGAAAACTTATAGTTTAAGGACTCAAAATGTAGGAAATGATCCCACAGAATAAAAAGTGAAGACGAAATAGCGGAATTCTACTTTAGAAAAAAGGTATGAATTTTACAAATTTTTCGCTGCGGGAGCCTACGAAACTTTCGACCATTTCGACCCGGGTCGAATAACAACTCTAGTGTCAGGTACTAATTCCCAGACAGGTACAGCGCGCGTAATCGCTACCAATTCACGGCCTTCATTCGCGACTGGCGTTCCTTCACGCTGCGTCTGCTAAATTCAAATTGCTTCCCACGCAACCTTAGAATTGTTGGAATCTATGTAAGTATTCGATGATATCCTACTATATATAAAAAAATAGTGTCTGTGTGTGTGTGTGTGTGTGTGTGTATGCCACTTTGCATGCAACTTCCGTCAGCGTGTCCGGAGGATATCTCAAGAGGGGATGGGTTTAAGGAGGTGTTTGATACGTCATTAGATGCGTAATGGACTGACGATGACTGCACACATATCATATTTTGTAAATTATGTTGTTTTCGGCATTAAAATTAAGTTTTTCGTAAAAATTCGGGCACCCACTTTGTTAGGAGAAAATTAGCATACGCCCGGAGTTGCAGTAGCCTATATAAAGGCCCGAAGGGAGCGTTTTTCCTTTTTTGTCATCGTGATTGAGACACAATTATGCAAAATAAAGAACATCATAGGATTAAACGGGGCCAGGGTTGAAAAGTCGCGAAGCGGCTTTTCAACCCTGGTAAAGTGATAAGAGCACTGCTCCGTCCCACGGTCTTAAATTCCGATGTGTGCGAATTGCTTCCTAACAAAAAGGGCGGTCGAATTATTCACAAACGGAAAAATACCGCTTCGCGGCCCTTTTCCACTGGACACCGCCCAGGAACCAGGAATGTAAATAATTTCTTCTTGAAGTCTGCGACGCAGGAACGTGAGTCAAGGAACCATTCTTTGGCTTGCAGCGTCAGAGCCAGCCTTGCGCTAGAACCTTTGAGCCTGTGGCGCGGGCTACTGCTTCTTCTCCCAGATTCGGTCTGCGGCGCGAGAGCCTGTATTAAGGAACCATCGTTGGCCTGCGGCGCTAGCGCTACAGTCCCTACTTTTGCCCGCGGCGCTAGAGCGAGCCCTAACCTAAATCTCGCACAAGGAGAGCTTATGAATATGTTTTGTTGCTGAAAAAAAGGAAAAAGTTGTTAGCCGAAGATCGGACTCCTTACCATCCGAATCCTTACCATGCTCGTGGTCGACTCTGTCCTGGGGGCGAGGGTGATCCAGAGAGAGAGGTCTTCGGTCAGTTTACAAAATCCCAATTTGGAAGGTGCGCGGGCTCCCCACTAAAATTTCAGCCGGTAATTCTTTCCCTTAGGTTTTTCCCTTTTTTGCTTGTAAAATTGTTAAATGAAGGCATTTATAAAAACAGGAACCGTTACCGGAAAAAGTGTTTCTCCACCTCCATGCCAAAAATAAGCCGGAAACTGGCCTGACGGCCGATTAATCGGCTGCAGGCCTGGACGCCCCCAAGGCCGGAAAGAGTGGGTGGAAGAGATAGGGAGCAGACAGAGAGAGAGAGAGAGAGAGAGAGAGAGAGAGAGAGAGAGAGAGCGCGGTCGGGCCAGGCCGGGCCGGCCCTACCTCACTCCAGGCTTGATCGGCTGCACAGACATACTTTGATTCTACTAAACATAGAAAATGAGGTTTGTGTGTGCATTTGCATACATAATCATACATTTGCACTGAATTAAGGATGTTAGACTTAGGGCAGCTTTTTTATAGGGGGAAGAAACGAAAATCGAGTACGCATGTACCGATACACTGTGAAGACCAAAGTAACGGCCTTTTCAGCGTGGAAGCTATGATTATCAAAAACGCTTGAAACTACCCCGTTATGTCGAACATTTGGACATTGGATCGATCGGTAGGTAATTTCGTATCGAATTACCCGGTGTCCAGAACTACCAGAAAACCTTCTTTTACGGTATGCTATCAAAAGTGATTTCTTAAAGTTCTATTAAAATTTTACTCTTACTCAACCCTCTGTTATGAACCGGCTTTTCAAATATAGTGAAAGTGTTTCACAACAGTTTTTTTTGACCATTTCTAAACGTAAAAATTTACCAATCTTTGTTAAAAAGCCGAAAACCGTCGGTTCTCGAACAAAATTTCGTATCGAGAATTTTTTTAGATTGTTAGAGAATGTTTCTACAGGGTCTCCCAAAAAAACCCTTACCTAGCGGTCCGCAGTCTAGCCCGATTTTTACGATTTATCTATTTACCAGCCGATTACAGCCGCCTCGCGACTGTAATCGGCTTGCCTTCGGTCTACCCTCCGTGTTCTACACCAAGACATTACATCTCTACCTTCATCAATACCCACGCTGACCGCTTCAGATACCTACTCTAGCTAAACCCCTGCATAAACTTAGATACCGAAACTACATTTAATACCTACCTGATGGTTTTAGATACCTCCCTTAGCCGAAACCCCCTCAAAAAACTACTTCGATATCTTCCTGATGGCTTTAGATACCTCCCCTAGCCGAAATCCCCTGAAAAGACTACTTCGATATCTTCCTGATGGCTTCAGATACGACCGCCCGGATACGCAGGAGAAAAAAGAAATGAAATGGCTCCCGTGAAAATTTTCATCCACGAAACGCGCGCGACCTGGCTCGCTACAGGGTGTCCCAAAAAATTCCCCCTAGCCGGCTGCAGACGGGTCCGATTTTTACGATTTAGGTATCTATCGGAAGCTCTCGGAAAGGCGAGTCCAGCACGTCTTGCGGATTTGCGAAATGTCGGAATTTTTTGCTCGATTTTCGGCATTTTTCATGCCAAAAGGACAGACTTTTTTGTTCAAAACGCAATTTAACCGGTTTAAGCGCTGTCCAAGCTGTGTTTCTGTTTCCAGCGGCGCTTTCAGAATTTCGACCTTCGCGACTTTTTAACCCTGGCCCCCAGGCCCGTAGCGGAACCGAAATTTCGGGGGGGGATTACGTAATCGTAATCATAACTAGAAGGTTCGTTTTAGTACTGGTACTGCGGACCAATAGGTTAGACCCAAATAGCTAAGAAGCTTATGACTTGTTTAAGAAAGCATCCCAAGTCGTTTTTTTTCCTCAGCGGAAACAAACAAACTGAGTGAGACGACTCGATTTCAGTAACAACGGAAAAAATAACATTTTGGGAGTATGCCGTAAAGGAAACTTTATCCGGAACTGATCGACCTGCTGTAATTTATTGGTCAGATCCGAAGGAGCCAGGAGTTGCATTCATCTATCGTTTTCTACACGAGCGTCGATGTGAAGGATCAAAGGTTCGTTTTAACGAGCCCTTTATAAAGACGGGTTGGGTAGACGCCTTCGACACAAGGCAACTCCATCCGACAGTGTGGAGGCCAGCAACAAACTATGAAAATTCGGCCGAAAAAACGCTACGCGACGCCTATACAGCGTGTCCAAAAAGACCCCCCAAATTGAGCCAGAGGGCACCTACGGAGCTTTTGCCCAATAGGTTTCGAGATAATGGTTTACGGCTACACTTTACTTTACCCCCCAGCCGGAATGTTTTGGCTATAACTTTTTTATTTTACACCAGGGTTACCCCCATCCTTCATCACTTTGAATAAACCGCTGAATTCCTGTGCAGAAAAATGAAAAGAGCTTCCTCTCCCCCCATTATATAGGCTTCCCCACTTCCGGTGCATGCTAATTGATTCCTAACCAAGAGGCCGAGCGAGATTTTCACAAAAACTTAATTTTAAGATCGAAAACAGCTGATTTTTAAAAATCTCATATGCGTGCAGTCGTGTCATGACCATTACGCACCTAATGACGTATCATACGTACCCTTAACTTCCTCCCTTATTGAGATACGACTGGAACATACGGACGGAAGTTGCATGCAAATGCACACACACAAACACTATTTTTTATATATAGTAGGATTATTGTAGGCTCAAATTCAAACTCTTAGTATATTTTTGACGCTCTATCGAATGGCGTTGCAAAATCCCGACAAAATAAGCGAAAATACCGAAAATCTTGAGACCCTTCGGCCGTGGGGGGGGGGGGAAGCAAAGTCTTACCTTGTTTACTGACGGGACTTAAAAGGCCGTTTGCGAGCCACCCGAACAAGGCTTGGCACAGGTTTTTCGACCTTATTTTTTGACGCCATCTGAAAGAGCATGGTCGAATTAGTGGAGTGGCACTTCGGAAATTCGGCTTTTGAGAGAGGGCTGTGATTGAACCCGCGCCGCCTCCGGATTGGCACGCCGACGCTCTACTCATTGCGCCACGGGGCTCCCAGGCGGAGGGTCCGGGTTCGATTCCGCGACATTTAAATAAGGCTAATTTATTTTTGCTCATTTTTGCAATCGCTTCAGCTCGTCTTCTAGATTCTTTCTCTTTGTTTTTCCAAATCGGAGATTTTGTATTTTTGGGGGCCATTTTTGGCGCATTTTTGGCGTATAAAACGCGTTGTAGCAAAAAGGAGGGAGCTGACTTCCGGGTAAACGACACATGTATCGACGTAAAAAAATATGGCGCATCTTTATACGCAACTTTCATGGAGCGCAAAACAGGGCGTTTTTTATGGATTCCGGGAAAACCCTCTCGAGTACGTGATTTAACCATGTTCCGCTCATTTTTGTGTTTTTTAATGTATTAGAGAAATGATCAGCGTCTAAAATTAGGCATACACACTAATTTTTAACAAATTCCCTCAAGTCACTTTCGAGATAATTTTTTGACATCGACAACTCTAACGGCCGATTTAACCCCGAAATTAAACTTTTAAAATTCGCAAAATAGTGCCACTCCACTAATTCGACCATGCTCTTTCAGATCGCGTCAAAAAATAGTGTCGAAAAAAACTGTGCCAACCCATATTAGGGCCTGTTCGAGTGACTCGCGGATGGCCTTTTAAGCGCCCAGTGTGACCCCGAACATTAAAGGGATATGGGCGGCATAAGTGAATCGATTATGCGCGGGAAAGAAAATGTCTCTGCACCTCTCCCCTGGGCGCCCTCTCGCGCCGCTGCATCTCTTTAAGTTTTTAAACTCCCGAAATAGTGCGAGTCTACAAGAGGAAGACAAGCCAACATACCGTGACAATTTGATTTTTCCAGCTATTATGGGTGTCGTGATTCTCCCTGTCGAGATTCTGAATGTTGGCTATCGGCATTGCTGTCGGCATTTTCACTTGGAAAGCCCCCACCCCCACTTTTTAGGTTACGATCGCCATAGCTGGAAGCACCATGTCATGTAGTCAATGCCACAAGCTGCTTCGCCAGGTAATTTATCCAGTTTCCACCTTCAAGGGAACCGGCAAGTTGCAAGCAGCGGAAGTGGGCACGTTTATAAAATATAGTCCTTGCTTACCATGTCAACTATTCCTTTTTTCTTATAGGTGCTATTCCGGCATAGTCAAGTTCGCATCAGCGTGGCCAATTTCGAGGGATATTGGCAGCCTTCGCAGGTGGAAGGGATTATCTACAGCCTGCTTCATCAACTCGTCACAGAGGTCAACAGGGAGAATCTTAAAAAACCTACCGTATACAGGGTGGGCAAAAAAAGTAAAGTTTCGGTCAAATTATCTCGCGAACGGAAACGAATCAGACCATGCTTACCTTGCCAGAATGCTTAAATATGCTGGGCATGAAGAAATAACACAAGTTGTTTTTTAAGATTTTTGACGACCTCGTCGTTAAAAATTTTTGAACATTTTTGAAAAAGTAGAAAACTTTGAAGCAACCAGTATGGAACTTTTGATGAGTTGGCGGGACTTCAAGGGTATCAACATGAAGCTCTTGAAATGCGCTATCAAACCAGTGGTAAAGAATTTTAATAGTTTTAACTAGCCGTCAATAGGAGCCTTTGGAAAAAACTGACTTTTTGAAGAAAAATTCCAGATAAAATTTCCTTGCCATCCGATCTCGCTGATATTGTGTATTTACCAACAAATAGATAAATACTTAAAATTTGTTGACCCAAACTTTACTTTTTTTTGGTCCACCCTGTACAGGGTGTCCCAAAAAAGCACCCATCCAGCATTTCGCCGTATGACATCCTATTGATCCGGAAATCACGTACTCGGCTGTGTCTGGGCGAAATTTGATTATTAAAACACCAAACCTATTTAAAACCAGTCCACCAGTCGAAAAAGACCGCTTCGCGACCCTTTTCCATGGTGGCCGATCATCTGTTCGAAAATCACCTGTTCGAAAAGCATGTATTCGAAAATCACCTGTTCAAAAAGACACCTGTTCGAAAAATCTGCGTGTGGAATTGGCTAGAAATAGTACCAAAAATGACGATATTCGAACACATGGTTTTCGAACAGGCGACTTTTCGAGCAGGTGTCTTTTCGAACAAATGACTTTTCGAACAGACGTTTTTCGAATAGATGATTTTTCGACCAGATAATTTTCGAACAGGTGATTTTCGAACAGGTGATGGGGAATCCCCCGTCCAGGAACCAGGAATTTGAATAGCTACTTTTTTCCTGCGGCGCAAGGACCTAACTGTAACCCTCTTATAGTCGAAGTGGAAATTCCGTACGTGAGATAGCACATATTGTGCAGAATTTTTTGCTGATTCTGAATCTGTTTTCAAAAGTTGAGGAACCCCTCAGATTAAAAAGTTACAAGCGTTTTTAATACCCAAAATGCAACAGAACGCTTACTTTAAAACGTTCTAAGAATTCCGTAAAATACTATTGGGGGGAAGTGTGGCATTTTACGGGGTAAAAAACCTGCTCTTTTGAATGGGCTATCTCATGAACCTGCAGCTCAAAATTTCTAAAATTTGGAAAATCGACCATCTTAAGGGTCCGCCAAAAAAAACTTTTTTTGCAAATGGAAAATTGATTGACTAATGCAAAACCAGCGCCGCAGGCGAAAATCTTAAAGGGATGCCCAACCTTTTCGGTGCCCGAAAAGCCAAAACCATGCCGCGGGCGGGGGTCGAACCCGGGACCACCGTTTTGTAGGCCATCCATTAGGCCATAGCGGCAAGCCATTGGGTGGAATGGGGACGCCACAAGAGGGAAAGGTGTCCGAATTCTGTGCGGCAATGGGCGCCCATTGGCGCACAAAATTCGCGCATCAGTTGTACTTGCCGGAATACATAACTATATATTTGCCGCCAAAACCTTGGGTGTCCCTTTAAGAAGCATGCGTCGCTGGCATTTAATAAGATGCGGGACATAAGAAGAACGCCCTTCTTATGTCCCGCAACGGCTCAACTTAGAAATTGCAGACGATTTGATATTGGGTCATTGCTATCTGGGTACCCGCACCAAATTTAGGTTTAGAAGCCACCTTGTTCTAAATAAGGCAATGACTATCCAAACTCACTTGCCAATCGGAATTGACCCATCCTTCTAGAATGCTGTTCAATATGATGCGCGACAGGTGCTATCGATTTGTTTTTGGGGCCGCGACGAAGCTACCTGGAGAAGGGTAAGTAGTCGTTTTCTGGACAGTCTGCGACTTCGTCGGAAGAGTTGTTATATTGGTGCCTGGTCCGGGGTATAAGCTGATAACGCCTATTTACAGAATGCCGATTTACAGAATGCCGATTTTACACAATGCCGATTTACAGAATGCCGATTTACAAAATGCTGATTTAGGATCTTTAGGATTTCCGGGGGGGGACCAATTTTTTCCTGGTTGTCCCGGTTGGTCTAGTAATCAAATATAAAGTGTTTTCACATTGTTTTTAGTAAATTTTAACTATATTTAAAGTTGAAAAACCTTCCAAAAAAGTTAGAAAAATGTTTGCAAAGGCGAAAATTTAGTCATTTTGGGTCTTCCCCCCCCGTCCCGCTAATCCTAAAGGTTCTATAGAATTTTTCGACCTAAAATTAAATTTTTTAATTAAAATGTGGGTAGTTTTTATGCTCAGGAATAGTTAAAAACCATTTAGAAACGCATGCGCTATTCATAAAAAAATAGGCTTGTGCCGAAAAAATTTGGACCCCCCCCAAAATCCTAAAGATCCTAAATCAGCATTTTGTAAATCGGCATTTTGTAAAATCGGCATTTTGTAAATCGGCATTCTGTGAATCGGCATTATGTACGTAAATCCTGGTCCGGGTACCCGGCTTCGACTCCGTTTCGGCCGCCGCAGGGGCCGGCCACCCTGAGGGCCGGCAACCGGAAGCTGGCGAACTCGTTTTGACCTTAGAGATATCCGTATGGTTAAACACACTTGTCGTATCATTATTTAGCAAATAGCCAGCAACATTTTTTAATATTGTCGCTTATAGACATGGTGACAAATTCAGACGAAATGAGCGCGATGCCTAAATGGTCACTGCTAGTCTACCCCTAGAGTAACCCTCAATCAACTATGATAATTTTGTTGTGGTCTCCGCCCGTCTGTCCGTCCGAAGCCGAATTCAACTCAAAGGGGAAAAGAGCTAGAGTTTAGGTCTCTTCGGATTCGGATAGAGCGTGGTCAGAAACCCCCAAACTAATAAAAAAATTATGAAAAAGTTTTTGTTGAAATTATTAAATTTAACTTGAAAGTTTTCCTTAGTAAAAGGAGTGGGGGACATAGTGAGCCAGGTCGCGCGCGTTTCGGCGAAGGGGAGACAACGCATAGGGGGTAGCCCGAAGCCCGGCCGCTTGCAGCGACAAAGCCGCTGTAAGCGGCTGGTAAGACATAATAGCTATTCCTAAATGCTCACCGCTAACATGCCCTCACCCTAAAAACTCAATAAAGAAACAGTCCGTTGAAGGACCGCTGAAGCCGGGTTTGAGTAGCTAGAATACGGTATCCCCCACCCAAAGATTTTCATCATAACGCTTACTTCGGTGGCTATGAGTCGCCCGCGCCACGTAACGCGCACGTAGCGTGATGCACCAAAGGCGAGTCCGGCACTTCTCAAATCCCCGGTTCTCAAATGAGATTTTTCCAACATTTACTAATATTTATGCGGGACGGGCGGTTTTTCTGATGTTTCCTGACCAAGAGGTTTTCACAAAAATCACAGTTTAAGAATTTTTGCGCATGTCCTGGCAGCTCACCGTCAGTTTTTGAAATTCGTTTGCGAAAACACAGTTTGGGTCGTGCTTTAACCAGCTAAAGTAAAGCGTGCCCTTTTGCATGAGAAATGCCCATAATCGAGCGTAAAATTTTCGAAATTTCGAAAATCGCAGGATGCTCGATTTCTGAAAGCTTTCGATAGATGCCTAAATCGTAAAAATCAGCCAGATCTGCGGCCGGCTAACTGTAAAGTGTTTTTACTCAGGCTGGCGTTTTGGAATGGGACCAAGACTATCTTGTTCAGAATTTTTTGCTGATTCCGAATCCGTTTTCCAAATTTGCTGCGGACTTCGCGTTGAAAAGTCATTTTTGGTCTAAATTAAGCTTAAAAACGGTATAAATTCGGATGCTGGCCCACTATTCCCTGCCTGGGTCCAGGTATTGTTGTGCCCGTTATCTACCCTCCCGAAGCCCCCTACCCAGTTGGCACCATGGTGCATCGGTAGGCTGTTCGCTTGCCAGGCACAGGGCGGCGGTTCAATCCCCGCCCTGCACATTTTCTTTTCCTTTTTGCACAAAAACACATGATTTTTTGCATAAAATCGTGCTTTGACCTCTAAAACCATTACCGAGCCAGTTTTAACCTCGGAGGTGACGACAACTTAAAAAATAACGCAAAAAATCCAGATTTAGTCAATTTTTTTAACCTAAATGTCGAATAACTTTTTAAATAAAGGTCGGCAGCAAATTTGGAAACCAGATTCGGAATCAGCGAAAAATTCTGCACAAGATAGGCTTGGTCCCATTCTAAAAGCCAGCCTGAGTAAAAACACTTTACAGTAAGCGGGGACGGGGGGGTGGTGATTTTTTTGGGACACCCTGTAGAGCCGGCATTGACTCGAGTCGAAAGTCGACCGGCGCCGCGTCTTTAAATACGATTCGAATTTTGAGCTAGTAAAAATTAGCGGCTCGAAATTCGTATTGAACTCGAATTCGGATCAAACCAAGTGCCCACACAAATATTAAGGTATCAGTGAGGCTCCATGTATTTTAGATTTACTCAACGCGGCCCATAGAAGACGCTATCGCTCGATTTTCCGACAAATCTCAGTTGGGCGATGCCATTATTGTCTGCGGGTACGACTGGGTAGGTTGGGTAGGCAGATATTATTATTTCTTTTGGACACGCAAGCAGGGACGTAGGGTCAGGTGGGCCCCCTGATTTTTATACCATTCAAAAGCCCGCGAAAAGGCGAGAAAACAAGCGGACTTGATTTTCTAAGATTTATTCTTATTTGTCCGATATTCAACGTTTTTCTAAAAAACAGGTAGCTTTTCAATAGGAATTTCGCAATTAGCATGCAGATCTCGCGTAAATCTGCCGTTTTCACGGTTTTCGGAGGTGAAATTAGCGAATATAAATACATAATAAAGAAAATGAGCCCTCCTTGTTTTCTCGCCTTTTCGAGAGCTTTTGATTGATACCTAAACGGTGAAAATCGGACACGACTGCATGCCGCTAGAGGGGGGGGTGCTTTTTTTGGGACACCCTGTACAGTGCGTATCAAAAAGATAGAGCCACTTGGTTTTTCACCTTTAACTTCACGCCGTGGTATTTTCTAGCGAAGCTAAGCATACACATCTTGTAGCCTTTCAAAAGGCGCATCTTTCTGTATAGTCGAAATTTTTCTGTGATCGATATTAAGATTTTTATGATGAAAACAAGCAAATAGAGCCAAAAACACGTATCAAAAAAAGATAGAGCCACAATTTGCATCCACTTTACATGCACTTTGAACTTGCAAATTACAGGGTAGTTGTCTTGCAAATCGTGCGCTTCATTCAAATCTACGAGGGCCGCAGAAAAATTTTATATTTTAAAATTTTACCAGGGTTGAAAAGCCGCTTCGCGACTTTTCAACCCTGGGTTCGTCCGAGCCCATGAGATTATTCGCATTGCATAATTCGCCGGAATTTCGATGAGAAATAATGAGAACTGCACTCCCTCTCTCTGCCGTTATATAGGCTGCCGCCACTTCCGGCGTATGCTAATTAATTTCCAGCAGGAGAGGTCGCCGGATTTTTTAACGAAAACTTAATTTTAATGCCGAAAATAGCGTAATTTGCAAAATCTGATATGCGTGCAGTCATTCCGGGGCCATTACGCACCTAATGACGTATCATATGTAGCCTAAGACCCTTTCCTCTTTGAGTTATCTTCCGGACAGCCTGACCGAAGTTGCATGCAAAGTGGCACACACACAGACACTATTTTTTTTATATATAGTAGGATCGCTCTAACCATTTCAAAGCGCGCAAATGAAGCCAACACGTAATAAAAAATTAGCCTTTTTACCAGGGTTGAAAAGCCGCTTCGCGACTTTTCAACCCTGGTCCCGTCTGATCCCATGATATTCTTTACTTTACATAATTCTCACGATTTTCGATGACAAAAATGAGAAACGCTACCTCTCTTCCCTTTATATAGGCTACCGCAACTTCCGGCGTATGCTAATTGTTTCCTAACAAAGAGGGCTCTGGATTTTTCAACGAAAAACTTAATTTTAACGTCGAAAACAGCAAATTTTTGAAAATTTGATCAGTGTGCAGTCATCCCAAGGCCATTACGCAACTAATGAGGTATAATACATACCCCTAACTACCTCCCTTTTTGAGATACTGCTGGAACACGCTGACGGAAGTTGCATGCAAATGCACACACATACACACACACACACACACAGACACTATTTTTTTATATATAGTAGGATTGCTACTATCAATCAGATTTTTCTGCGGCCCTCGTAGATTTGAATGAAGCGCACGATTTGCAAGACAACTACCCTGTAATTTGCAAGTTCAAAGTGCATGTAAAGTGGATGCAAATTGTGGCTCTATCTTTTTGATACGTGTTTTTGGCTCTATTTGTTTGTTTTCATCATAAAAAGTTTAATCTCGATCACAGAAAAATTTCGACTACACAGAAAGATGCGCCTTTTCAAAGGCTACAAGATGTGTATGCTTAGCTTCGCTAGAAAATACCACGGCGTGAAGTTAAAGGTGAAAAACCAAGTGGCTCTATCTTTTTGATACGCACTGTATATATAAAAAAAATAGTGTCTGTGTGTGTCTGTGTGTGCCACTTTGTATCCACTTCCGTCTGTCTGTCCGGAGGATATCTCGATAGGGGATGAATTTTAAGTTATGCATGATACGTCATTAGGTGCGTAACGGCCTAGGATGAATGCACGCATCTGAGATTTAACAAAATCACCTATTTTCGACATTAAATTTAAGTTTTTGTAGAGTTGTTATTCGACCCTGGTCGAAACTTCGACCCAATTTGGTCGAAACTTTCGACCAGGGCCGCACCGAAAAGTGGTTTTTCATTTTTTGTCATCCGAATTTAGGACAATTATGCAAAGTAAAGGATAAAAAATGGGGACAGCCGAGGGCCAGGGCTTCTTTTTTGCACTCAAGGCCTACGCAATGTATAATTTAGGTAACCCTCAACATTGTGGCGGCGAAAAATTATGGATGGAAACATCGAAAAGAAGTGTTTGATGGCCTTGCTTCAAAGCATATGTACGATAGCATTTACGGCAACGCCAACTCCTATCTGAAATGGGAGGACTTTTCTCCGCA